AAAAATATATTTGCCTCTGGGCAATGACACTGCTTTTTATACTATTGAGAGAAGTACAATGAAAAAGAAAGAAAGAAAGCAAACAAGGCTGAAAGAAAGAAATGATAAAGAAAGATAAATGGAAAAATACTACAGAAAGTATAAATAAAATAAGGCTAAAAATAAGAAAGAAAGAAATAATGTAGAAAAGAAAAATGATAGAAAGAAAGAAAAGTATAAAAAACAAGGCTGAAAGAATGAAAGAACAGTTAAAAGAAAACAATGGTGAAAGACAGAAAATTAAAAAAAACAAGGCTGAAAGTAAGAAAGCAAGAAAGAAAGAAAAAAAGAAAAGTAAAAAGAAAACAAAGCTGAAAGACAGAAAAGTATAAAAAACAAGGCTGAAAGAAAGAAAAAAAAGAAAGAAAGAAAGAAAATAAAAAGAAAACAAAGCTGAAAGACAGAAAAGTATAAAAAAAACAAGGCTGAAAGAAAGAAAAGTAAAAAGAAAACAAAGCTGAAAGACAGAAAAGTATATAAAAAAAACAAAGCTGAAAGAAAGAAAGAAAGAAATAAAGTAAAAAGAAGAAAAGTATAAAGAAAGAAAAGTATAAAAAACAAGGAAGAAAGAAAGAAAGAAAGAAAAGTAAAAAGAAAACAAAGCTGAAAGACAGAAAAGTATAGAAAAACAAGGCTGAAAGAAAGAAAGAAAGAAAGAAAGAAAGAAAAGTAAAAAGAAAACAAAGCTGAAAGACAGAAAAGTATAAAAAAACAAGGCTGAAAGAAAGAAAGAAAGAAAGAAAAAAAAAAAGTAAAAGAAAAAAAGAAAACAGAAAAGTATAAAAAAAAGCTGAAAGACAGAAAAGTAAAAAGAAAATAAAAACAAGGCTAAAAAAAGAAAGAAAGAAAGAAAAGTAAAAAGAAAACAAAGCTGAAAGACAGAAAAGTATAAAAAAAAACAAGGCTGAAAGAAAGAAAGAAAAGTAAAAAGAAAACAAAGCTGAAAGACACAAAAGTATAAAAAACAAGGCTGAAAGAAAGAAAGAAAGAAAGAAAGAAAGAAAGAAAGAAAGAAAGAAAGAACAGTAAAAAGAAAACAAAGCTGAAAGAAGAAAAGTATAAAGAAAGAAAAGTATAAAAAAAGGCTGAAAGAAAGAAAGAAAAGTAAAAAGAAAACAAAGCTGAAAGAAAGTAAAGTATAAAAAAAGGCTGAAAGAAAGATAAGTATAAAAAACAAGGATGAAAGAAAGAAATGACAGAAAGAAAGATAAATGGGAAAATAATATCAAAAGTGTAAACAAAATAAGGCTAAAAAAAGAAAGAAAGAAATAAGGTTGAAAAGAAAAAAGATGGGAAGAAAGAAAAAAGAAAGAAAACAGAATGAAGAGAAATATAAGAAAGAAGGCTACTCAAAAAATGGAGAGAGGCTGAAAGAAATAAAGAAAGACAGCAAAAAGATAGAAAGAAAAATACAGAATAAAGAAAAATATAAAAGTCAAAGCAACTCAAAGAATAACAAAGAAATGAAAGAAAGCAAGTAACAGAAAGAAAGAACAAAAAGATATAAAAATAGATTTAAGAGAAAAATAATGCTACTCAAAGAAAGAAAGAAAGAAAGAAAACATAAAAATAAATGGACACAAGAAAAGGAGGAAGGCTGAAAGAAAGATAAAATATCAAAAACAATAAAGAGAAATATACAGGGTGTCCCACAAAAAATAGAGCATTTTAAATTTTCTATATGATGAAAAAATTAACTAAGAGATAAAAAAAATAACTTTTTTAGTTTGAACACTACATTTAACATTTGTTCTGTTTTAATTTACTAAATTTTTATTCTTTGCTTTTGTTTCAAATAACTGTATCAAAAATTCCAACAATTAAATATACTGTACCAAATCTCCTTGTTTTTGTAGGGTACCCTGTAAAAACAAGGCTACAGAAAGTTGGAAAGAAAAAATATGTCAAAGAAAGAAAATCTATAAAACTGTAATACGGAGAAATATAAAAAAAATTAAAAAAAAAAACAAATTTCCAGAAAGAAAATGTAAGACTGAAAGAAAGAAAGAAAATAATAGAAAGAAATGTATAAAGAAAAGAAGCGGGGAGAAAATAAAGAAATAAAGAAAATAGAAGGAAGTTGTAAAGAAAAAAAATAAAAGCTGAAATAGAAGCTCAAGAGAAAAAGAGAAAAAAGAAAAACAAAAGAAAGAAAGAAAATAAGAATAAAGTTGACAACCTTGGACAGAGTTTTATTAAAAGAATATTTTTGACTGTACTTTTGTCTAAACTTAGAGGTCACTGTCGTGAAATTGGACATCAACCTATCAGTCAAGATATTAAATGTCACAGCAAAATGGCTGCTCACATGATACACTGGCAAAAGACACAGTTAAAAGACTCTTCTTTTTGTTTAAATGGATTTCAATTGTCTTTACCCACACTAATCATTCACACTGATTTTAATCTATCAGACATTCATAGCCTCAAAGGGAAAGGGGCCATTTTCTCTTTAATTCCTTCTGCTTTATGCATTACACTTTCCTTTTTTCTTGATTGAGTTTTTGCATCTGTTTTCTTAATTTTCATTGTTTCCTGAGAAAACAAACAAATAAAAAAAACAACTATTTCTTTGTTCTTTCATGCACTCAAATTATCCTCCTTTCATTTTTGTTTCATTCCTTATATTGACTTCCTCTTTTTATGTTCTTTGTTTTTCTCAAAACTATTTCATTGTTTTTCACTGTAATCATATTTCCTTTCATTTCCTTTGTTTTTTTTTTTTTGGTCTTTGAGTTTATTCTTTTTCTGTTCTTCTCATCATTCCTCGTTCTTTCCATACTTTCATATTTAATTTCTTCTTCTATTTTTATTTAGTGATGTTTTTTTCTAAGTCTTTTCTTTTTATATTCCTCTCACCACCTCTTCTTTTTGCCCTCATTTTCTTTGTTTTTTTCTTTCTTTCTTCCTTTCTTCCTTTCATTCTTTCTCTCTTTCTTTCGTCTTCTATTTTTATTTAGTGATGTTTTTTTCTGTCTTTTCTTTTTATATTCCTCTCACCACCTCTTCTTTTTGCCCTCATTTTCTTTCTTTCTTTCTTTCTTTGTTTCTTCCTACCTTCCTTTGTTTCTTTCTTCCTTTCTTTGTTTCTTTCTTTCTTCTTCTATTTTTATTTAGTGATGTTTTTTTCTGTCTTTTCTTTTTAAATTCCTCTCACCACCTCTTCTTTTTGCCCTCATTTTCTTTCTTTCTTCCTTCCTTCCATTGTTTCTTTCTTTGTTTGTTTCTTTCTTTGTTTCTTCATTTCTTTGTTTCTTCATTTCTTTCTTTCTTTCTTTCTTCCTTCCTTCCTTCCTTTCTTTCTTCTTCTATTTTTATTTAGTGATGTTTTTTTCTAAATCTTTTCTTTTTATATTCCTCTCACCACCTCTTCTTTTTGCCCTCATTTTCTTTCTTCCTTTCTTCCTTGGTTCCTTCCTTTCTTTCTTTGTTTCTTCCTTTCTTCCTTGGTTCCTTCCTTCCTTTCATTCTTTCTCTCTTTCTTTCTTCTTCTATTTTTATTTAGTGATGTTTTTTTCTAAATCTTTTCTTTTTATATTCCTCTCACCACCTCTTCTTTTTGCCCTCATTTTCTTTCTTTCTTTCTTCCTTTCTTTCTTTCTTTCTTCCTTGCTTCCTTGCTTTTCTTTCTTTCTTTCTTTCTTTCTTTCTTTCTTCTTCTCTTCATTTCTTCTTTTTTTCTCATCCTTATTTACTTCTTGTCATTCCTTGTTTTTTTTATCTTTAATGTTTTTTTTTGAACTTCTGTTTATACAATTTTTGTTCATCTTTTTAATTTTTTCTATTTCTCTGATCGCCATTTCATTTTTTATCCTTCTCCCTTTGCCTTTCTTCCTTATGTTTTTTTTATCTTTTATTTAGTTACATCCACAAAAATTTTAAAAAATGAATAATTTTGAAGTTTTTATTTTTGTCTTAATTTCAAGCCAACAGATTAAATTGAATATATCCAATACTTAAAATAATTTGCTGTATTTCAAAAATTAATTCTAATTGAGTGGAACGAGTTTTCTTTTTAAATCACTAACAATCACTGATTTTAACAAAATTTTTAGACATCTGTCAGCACAATGGAATTGTCTTTAATAAAAAATCTTTCAAAAATAAAATGCATTTTTTTGAAATTTTATTTGAGGAATATTAACTGATTTGAAATTTAATTAATTTGATTGGAAACATTACTTTTAGTTTAACATATTGCAGAAATGCATTTTTCAACATGGGGGCAGGTGTTTATTTAAGGTGTTGACAGCTTGACAGACAGATAGAAGTTTATCTAATTTTTCTACAATGGACATATCTGTAAAAATTACTTGAGGAATATAATATGAGTGTCATTTTTACATCATTTTTAACTACCCAGTAATTTTAAATTTTTTTCATTATTTCTACTTCTTCATTGCAATCATCACTTTCTTTTTCAATATTTTGTCTTTTTCTTCATTACTATCATCACTTTCTTTTTCTTTATTTTTTCATTGATATTATCACACTGTTTTTCATTGTCTTTTCTTCTTCCATTACATCATCACTTTCTTTTTCATTGTTTCTTCTTCTTCATTACCATCATCCTTTTCTTTTTCATCATTTCTTCTTCTTCTTCTTCATTACCATAATCACTTTTTCATTAATTCTTCTTCATTGCCATCATCAATTTATATTTATTGTTTCTTTTCTTCATTGCCATCATCACTTTCTTTTTCATTATTTCTTCTTCATTGCCATCATCACTTTCTTTTTCATTATTTCTTCTTAATTACCATCATCACTTTCTTTTTCATTATTTCTTCATTACCATCATCACTTTTTTATTATTTCTTCTTCTTCCTTGTCATCTTCACTTTCTTTTTTTATTTCTTCTTCTTCATTACCATTATCAATTTATTTTTTATTATTTTTTCTTCTTCTTCAATGCCATCATCACTATCATTTTCATTGTTTCTTCTTCTTCATTACCATAAATGCTTTTTTCATTGTTTCTTCTTCTTCATTACCATCGATGCTTTCTTTTTCTTCCTTATTTCTTCTTCCTTGCCATCATCACTTTCCTTTTCATCATTTTTTCTTCTTCTTCCTGCCATCACTTTTTTTTTTTATTAATTCTTCTTCTTCTTCATTGTTTTTGGTTCTTTATACCATCATCACTTTTTCATTGTTTCTCCTTCTTCATTACCATAATCACTTCTTTTTTCATTATTTCTTTTTCATTGCTCTCATCACTTTCATTCTATCTTGTTCACTTTTTATTATTTCCTTCTCTTCTTCTTCTTCATCTTTTGTTCTACATTATTATCATCAATTTCTTTTTCATTATTTCTTCTTCTTCTTCATTACCACTTTTTCATTATTTTTTCTCTTTTATTATATCTCCTTTTTCTTCCTCATTACCATCAACAGTTTTTCATTATTTTTTTATCTTCTTCATTATCATCATCAATTTCTTTTTCATTATTTCTTCTTCTTCTTCTTTTTCTTCTTCATTACCACTTTTTTCATTATTTTTCTTTCATTATATCTTCTTTTCCTTATTCATTACCATCAACATTTTATTTTTCCTTATTTCTTCATTACAATCATCACTTTTTTATTATTTCTTCTTCTTCCTTGTCATCTTCATATTCTTTTTCATTATTTCCTCTTCTTCATTACCATCATCATTCAATATCTATGGAGCTCACCTGTAGTTTATACAGCAATTGAGCATACCTTAGTATTTTCTTGGAGAGAGCACATCATTTGGCATGATCATTAGTTTGAACAAGATTAGTATGCTGAAATCCTTGGTCACAATGACTTGTGACTTTCTGTTAGCCCAACCATCTGTTCACCCAATTTAACTCATAAGGCTTGAGTGACCCAGTGGTTTGGTTTATGGGCTCTTTCCAAAGGTGCCATTTGCTGGGATTTATAAATGCAGTATTCCAACAACTTATATTCATAAGTAAAATTATAACAATTATAAAACTAATGATTAGAGGAATTCTTAAAGAAAATGACAACAAAAAGAATATCTGGAATACTCAGAATCAGAAAGAGACAGCTGGAATTTCCTGGACACATAATGAGGAAGGAAGTCTTGGAGAACTTAACCATCACAGAACAGGAGAGAACAAATGTTGCTAAGGTCCACAACAGATATGAAATTGAGGAGTGCTATGATCGTCAATGTCTTGAATGGACACAATACAAAGAAAAAGAATACTGGGAAACTCAAAATTTTGGTCAAATGTGAACCTTTTGTTTATGTGGAATAACCCCAAAATTTAGATATCAACATGAAATAGAAGTGAATTTTTTTTTTTAATCAATTCACCCAGAGCAAGGCAATAATGCCACTAAGATACAACAGGCTACTGGGAGTGAAAGAGAATAAAAAGACTAAATAGGAAGCAAGAGGGAAACCTCTACTTCTGTTCAAAAGACAGGGGAGGAGTGTGAAACAGATGATAGGTGAACCTATATAAAAAAACTATTTTTTTATACCATCCAACCTTTTATAAATTTATCCAAAAAAAATCATTGTGAATCAATTTGGTCCTAAACTCCTATTTGAGTTGAATTCCAATTCAGGCTGAAAACAGTTCTTAAAATCACAAACTCTGTGGAACTTCAAAACCTCATGTCATGAAACCTCACATTTTAACTCTGATTCCTTGATATTTTGAAGAAATAAATGTTATCAATTCACAAAGCTTTGGAGATATTTTAAACTGAATTTAAAACAAAATTTATTAAATTACAAAGTTTTTGTGTTACTTTAAAGTCAATAGAAATTAAAAACTTTTAAAATCACTAATTTTTTCAGTTATTTTAAAGTTTGAATTTTTAACTGTTCCCTCCTCATCCAAAGACAAATCCCAATGCTGTATGTTCAAGCACCAAATAAAGGGCAATCCTAGTATCATCCTGTGTCCAAAGAGGTGTAAAGCCGATGTAGAGCAAGTGTAGTCCAAATTAGAGGGGTTTCAGACACACTAACGAACAGACAGAATTTCCTGTTTATTTATTTATTTATTTATTAGATAGATAGATAGATAGATAGATAGATAGATAGATAGATAGATAGATAGATAGATAGAATTTCCTGTTTATCTATTTAGATTTCTCTTTATCTATCAAATTACAACTCATTTGGTAGTTTCAAGCTCACCTTGTAGTCATTAATTTGTAATTCTGAAATTAGGACAAATTACTGTCCTCTATTTACATCAGCACAGAATGAAACCAGCTTTCATCCTAACTGCGCAAAAAGATTTTGCCATCAGTCCACAAATAAACCTTGAGGTTCCAAGTATTTATTATTTATAGTGATAAAACACGGGAAGTGTATAATAATAGACTATATATATATATATATATATATATATTAGAGACACAGTGGATTAAAGGAATGTGGCTCAGATTGAGAAATCAGAGAACCCAGTTTGAATTCCAATCACATTCATTACATTTAGCTATGTACTATTAACCTTGGAAAAAGTATCAATCCATCTCTTCTCCCCTCATCTATGGGGTAAATAACAGGACAGATTGGGTTCTATAGACTCAGGTGGCAACTGGTCTAGGAGAAAGACAACTTTGAATTCAAAAGCTGCAAAGACTGGTTTAGGGATATTGTGGTATACTGTGCACCAGTTCTTTCTATTTGGCACTCCCAAAATGCATGGTTGGTTCTGCACAAGCTTTCACCACTTTATTAAGTGTTGTGTGCAGCTAGTCTGAATGTTGGTTCTAAGAACTGAGCTGTTTGACCCTCATATGTCGAAAATGATCAGAGAGTGCACATGTATGTACACACATATATACACAATACTAAAGATATATGTTTATACATGGGTGAAAATATTTGAAAAAAAAACAAATATTTTCATCATGTCCATTAAACCCTAACTATATAAATATATAAGATATAAGTATATAAGAAAATACATAAGTATATAAGATATAAGTATATAAGATGTTTTAATAAAATCTTTTATTTTATTAATTCTCCATACATCATATATTAATAAGATATTTTATTTAATAAGATAAGTATATATGTATATAAGCTAAGTATATATGTATATAAGATATGTATATAAGATTTAAGTATATAAGATAAGTATAGAAAATTTATAGCTAAATAATATAGATTCCAACAAATTATATTCATAAGTAAAATTATAATAATTATAAAATCCATCAGTTATAAGATATAAGTATATAAGATAAGTATATATGTATATAAGATATAAGTATATAAGATAGGTATAGAAAATTTATAGCTAAATAAGATAGGTAAGTATATAAGATATATATAAAATCAGATAGGTAAGTACAGTTCATAGAGGCAAACCTAGAAGACCTAATTTTGAAGCTAATTTGACTATAGCAAATGGATATATTTTTGGCCAATGGCATAGCCAGGGCAAGCAGGAGATATATGATAATTTTACATCTCATGTATGATGCAACTTCCTTAAAATTAACATCAAAATTAGGTCTTCAAAAGTTGCATGATATGCGAGTATATACAATATACAAGACATATAGCTATATAAAATATACAGCTATATAACTATATAAAATATATAGCTATATCAGTTATATAAATATATAAGCTATATAATTATATAATATATCTGTAAGATATATAACTACATAAGAAAATAATGGAATGATTATTTTAAAAGGCATATTCATTCCTAGATGTATACATATATATGTGCTTATGTGTGTATGTATATATATATATATATATATGTATATGTGTGTGTGTGTGTGTGTGTGTGTGTACTTATATCTCTTCCCATATTTGTTCATTCTTATTTATTCTGCAAGAAGCTTATCCCTGATGGACAACCATGTTTACCTTATCTGGGAATGGAATGGATACACACATTTTATCTATATAAACCAGAATAAACCTAAGTAATATTATTTTTCCTTGCAGAAAAATGATTTGATTTGATCATTTGCCATGTTTTCTATCCCTGCATTCTTTTATCTGAATATGATCACTCGAACCAACTTTAAATAGCATCTTTCTTTTATTGCTTTCTCTCTTCACTTTTTATTCTTCCATTCCGTCTCCTTGCATTTTTGCCTGGACTCCATCTGCCAATTTCTCTCTCTATGTATTTGTCTATCTTTCTGAGATGATGTATTGTAACTATTTACACAATTTACATTTTTTGGGACTGTTGTCTTCATCTTTGTTGTTATATTCACAACATTTTGCCTGTTGTATGCTCAGGTCTTCTTTAGTGGACAAAATAATGGGTTTACACTATTTACATTGTTTGGACTATCATCCTCATCTTTGTTGCCATATTTATCACCACCTGAAGAAGGCCGGAGTGTACAACAGCCAAAATGTTATGATCAATGTAAATAGTGTACATAATACCTCAACTCAAAAATATAGACAGATAATGGGTCTAGTTTGAAATTTCAATCACCCGGAGAAGGCCAGAGCATTCAATGGCCAATTGTTGTGAACATCACAACAAAGATGAGGACAACAGTCCAAACAGCTATGCTGAGCAGATCTTACTTACAGTTTGTGCATCATCTGGAATGATCAGAAATTTGAATAAGGCCAGTACACTCAAAGTTTTGATCACAATGACTTTTGAATTTATGCTAGCATCCCCATATGCAATCTCCAAACAGTTCCATCTAACCAATTAAACTCACAGGAATTGAGTCAAATGGTGGTGCTGTTGCCAGGCACTTTCCAAAGGTGCTGCATATTGGAACTGCCTCCCCAGTCCAATAATGTCAGGAAGTTACCTTATTGACAAATTAACCAAGGTGATGTTTGAAGCCAGGTCACATGGTTGGAAAGTGAACATTAGAACTAGTCATCCATGAACCTATATATATATATATATATATATATAAAAATAAAGTATGAATTTAAGTTTTGGCAAAAATAATGTTCATCAAAAGAACAGCCAAATTAAAAAGAGTGTTCAATACTATTTTCATAGAACAAAAATGTCGGCCAAATTAATAGTTGCTTTATGAAGACATCTTGGCAGAAATCGTGGTTGCAAGTAGATCAGCGTTCCTAATATTTTATATATGTGGTGAACTCTCCTATCGTGAATGATAAATGAGGATCAGCAGTAGATGGTGTCTTTTGTTTCACACTTATACATGCTAGCAGCGGCTATTGTGGAGAAAATCAGGTAAGGGAAAGACATATTTCATTTGTGCTTTCTTAAGTGTGATACTAGCCCAACCTTGCTGCTGGCGACAAAACCACACTGACATATGAAATTTGTTAAAGCAGGATTTTGATGGCATCTCTCTCTCTCTATATTTATATATATATATATATATATATATATATATATATAGAGAGAGAGAGAGAGAGAGAAATAGATAGACTTTCTGGCCACCCTATGATTGCAGGATCATTAATCTTAAGTAGCAATCTGTACTTTGTCTCTTTTGAGGTGTGACACTGTGATGCATTTTTGCTGTGGCTTGATAACCTAAGCATAGAGTACTATTGGATAATGTTTAGGTAGGTTATTTTGGTATTTTTCTTTGTTTTTTTTTAGTACGTTTCACTTTGTCATATCAGTTTTTTTCTTAGTTTTTGCTCTGTTTGTTGTATTTTTTTTATTGAATTTTCTTTTGCTCACCTGGTAGGCCTTCTGAGATACACTTTGAATATATATATATATATATATATATATATATATATAGCCAGCATATTTTCATTTTAACAGGTTTGGTTAAATAATTTAGAGGTATTATGTCTATGTATTTTAGTTTTAATCTTTTCATATCCACAAATTAATTTCTTGATGGCTGTAAAAAAATTGATTAAGAAAAATACCAAAATTTCTTTCAAATAATTATTTTTTTCCCAAGTATTTTCAGTCTTAGCTGAGACCATCAGCAAGGGGTTAAATTATCTGTGGATGTGTATACATAGTTTCATAAATTCAAAATATTTTTTTCATTGTTTGTTTTACTTTTATTTGCAGTGTTCCAGGGTCAAATTCAAATTCAAGAGGTTTTTAAATGTCCTTTAGGAAATCACGGCTCTGATAAAAATGTTAATATGTATGTTGATGTTGCAACAACAATGCTGATGAGAAGACTTACATTTCACTTGGATGAGCATAGTTCAATCTCGGAATATTTAAAGGAACACTTATGTCCACATTCAGAGTTCAGACCAATATTAGGTGAAAATACATCAATACTCCATCTAAATAATAATATGCAAAAACTAAAAATCCTTGAAGCCCTTTTATCTAAGACAATTAAAACCAAAAATAAATAAAATCAACTAGGAGTATTACAACAAAGTTCTATGTTTGTAGCAGCAAAGATTTATATATAAAAAAAATAAAAATTATAATAGTAATAAATAAATACAAAATTTACCTCCCTTGCATAAGAAAAAATAACTCTTGAATTTGACTCTGTAATGCTGCAAAACGCAGTAAAACAAAGAGTGAAAAAAGTTTACTCGTGACATGTTTTGTCCTTCAGGACTTCATCAGACTAAATTTGTTAGGTACCATAGCAAAGAGCTCATCAGAACAATTACCATTAAAGTATTTATAGAAAAGGCACAGAGAGGCAACCTTACAGTGGTGGGAAAGTGACTGAAGCTGAGCTGCCAGATCCAGACCAATAATATTGTTGATTCTTCTTTGGATTTTATCACGGAGCTCAGGCTAAATAGCAGGGGTACTGGACCATATGTGGGAGCAATATTCTAAGCATGGACAAATGGTAGACTTATAGATATGTAAGATAGATTCTGGACAGAAAATTGTCATGCACAACACAGTGAACGAACTTTCTTGGCAGCTGAACTAGCAATGGATTCATTATAGTCTTTCCACTTCATGTCAGCTAAGAGCCCAAGAAATTGTAATGAGTCATTTTTCTGGAGGTTAGCATCAGCTATGCTCATGAAAGGCAGAGAGGGGTCTCTCAGATGATTAATGGAGTGAGGTTTAGTTTTGGAAGCATTAGAATTAACAAGCTATCCTTTGCCCCAGATAACGACAGACTTGAGATTGTTTTGGACATTGGCTACCATTTTGACCTTGTTAAACTGATCAG